TATCTTTGGATGATCTCTTGCTTATTTTCTTGAATTGTTATGCTGGAAAAATACCTATGAAATTGGGGGTTTTGAAATTACTTGTGATTTAAGAAAATGGTTGGTATTACCTTTCTTGTATGGTTTGTTGTGATGGACTTTAATTACCTTCAAGAACTGCAGTAGAGTGTTAGAGGTTAGCCAATCCCAGTGAGGGAGAGATGGTTGTCTAACACTTGTAGTGGATTGTTGTTTGTGAGAGTAACCACTATTGTTCACGTAAGTTCGAGACTGAAGGATGGTATACCTTTCCTTGAAAGGACTCGTTAATGCTGTGGGAGATGGTATACGCCCTCCCTAAATTGTTTTGTGTGGATATGATGGCTGAACGAGGTAGATTTTTCATGTAGATTCATGAGAAACAACCAACATACAGGAGAATATGGGATGATGNTTTTGTGTGGATATGATGGCTGAACGAGGTAGATTTGTCATGTAGATTCATGAGAAACAACCAATATACAGGAGAATATGGGATGATACTTTTGAATGATTAATTGATATCTTCAATTCTGACATGTTTATTCCTTTCATTTAACTTATTGTTATTGCGGTAACTTGAGATCGAATAAATTGTCAGTTTTATTTCAAATTATATATGATATTTTAGAGTGAGACCGAACTGTTTTATATATTTTCTAAACCTTGTTCAAGTTTGGAAGGATGTTGCTACAGAACTTAATGCTCACCCCTACAAACAATATCTATTCTCAGATTTCGGTTTAGAGGAAGAATTTGAAGGTTATGAGCAGGTAACTTGGGAAGCCCAAATGGATGGAAGCGTGGATCCGGAGGGGGATGTCTAGAGTTGATCTCTCCATGCCATACACTAGGAGATGTATTGTGATACAATGGATGTATGATATTTTATTTATTCTGCTGCAAGATTTAGTTTGATTTTGAGATGTAATTGTCATAGTTTGACATATTCTTTTTAGATGTAGATACCATGGTTTGATATATTCTTTTGAATGATGTTGTAGATATTATGTATGATAAATGGAATTTGTCTTATTTATGGACTTTATTAGTTGCTCTCATGTTGTGAATGATTTTAAATTGTAATGTCGTCCAAGGTGGATTTTGGGACGTTACAACATTTGTTTGTCTTCATTCACCTTCTCTCCCTTTAATATCTCTATCTTCAACATTTCATTTTCTTGCTTTATGGAATATATGATTTCTTTTGCCAATTTTGCTTCTTCTTGTAGAGTTTCTTTTTCTTTTACTGTTTCTTCCAACTTTAATTTCAGTTGCTGCATTTCATCATTTTCAATCCTTCTGGGGTATCCTGTTCCTCTATGTATGGAATTTCTGTTGTTTTTATTCTGTCTTTTGCTTCCTCTTCTACACTTTTTGATACATTTGCTTCTTCTCAAATATTTTTCACGTCCTCAAGATTTTATGTTTGAATTGATTTGCTATTTTCAGCATCAGGAGAGGTGGTTGGAGTATATCATTTCTTGCAATCACATTCAATAGAATGTTATTGTTAAAATCAAAGTCTTCAATGTCCATTTAATTTTCTTCATCAGGAGGATATGCATCATCATTTAAATTTGCTTCTTCAATATTTGTTTCATCACTATGTGGAACTTCTCTTTCTTCAGCAGCCATCTAACCCTTCTTTACAGTTTTCATCTTCTTCTTTTTCCTCACCCTTTGGATTCTTCTTGTTGTTCTTTCATTGGATCTTGATTTTTTTGCTTTCACTATTTCTAACTTTAATGTCTTCAAAATTTTGTGCAGTTTTTTTCCCTACTTCTTCATCCTTTTGGTTACCTTTTCAATTTTTTTTTGTCTTTGCCTTTCTTTTTTTCTTTTTTCCTTCCTTTGTATCTTTTGCAGCTCCTGATGTTTGCCCCTCTGTATTCAGTACATTTTTTGAAAAAAGCTTTATTTCAATTGCTTTTTTTTTTTCAATTCATCGTCTATAATCTGTAATATTTTCCATTGAAATGAAGTTCTTATGAGAATTTATTTTTATATACATCAGTCAATTTTTTACTTTGTCAAGAGGNTATTTATATACATCAGTCAATTTTTTACTTCGTCAAGAGTTAGTTGATTCAGCTTTTCTAGAGTTAAAACCCTGGCTAGTTCTGGGAGGTTTCATTTCATGAATCTTGGAAATGCATTATTGCATTCTATTTGAATAATGTTTGTGTGTTCACACAACCAATACTGGAAAACAAAGAGCTAGAAAGCATGTTAATTAATTTCATAAAATAGTGCAATAAATATAATATTCACAGTGATATAAATGTCACTCACTAGCAATGCAACAACACATTATTTAATTGAATATGGTTGGTCAAATTTCTTTGACACGGAAGACATAAAGAGATTTGCAATTGCTTCGAACCATGCATAAGTTTTCACGTTGTCTACATCATCTACCAGTTGCACATACCCCCAACTCATAGTTTGCCCACTTATTGGAATGAGCAGAGTAACAAAAGTGTAAAGGCAAAGCATCCTTGCAAAATCTTCATAATCTGTTTTTTTATGTCCTTTTGACACAATATTCATTGTGGACTTGAGTAATGCAACTAACAACTTCTTTTCTTTCTTGAACCTTCTAATTACAAAATCTAACATTTTCTTTTTTGCATACACTTTAATTTTATCATCATTTATTCCAAATATAAGTGATACATCATTTTTGCTGAAGTTTACTATTTTGCTTCTAAGGTTTGAAAGCTGATGAGACATGGTAATAAGTACGAAGAAGTGTTGTGGCAGCTTCATCACTTTTTCTGCATATTTTTGGATTAAACTTTTGCTCTATTATCGCTTCAAATAGTAGCTAGAATGGTGTTCTANACCAGTTGCACATACCCCCAACTGATGGTGTTCTCTTGAGAGCATTTCGTTGATAGTCTGTCACTTTGATTTCTTTGAAAAGTTTCAATAATGCTCTCATATTTGATCTAAATTGAGGGACATAATTTCTTTCTCTCTTTCTATTTAAAGTAGCTTCCATGTTGTCTTTTGATTCTGGTATTTAAGTTCTTCACTTTCTGACAGATGTTGTTGCTTCTTGTTTTTTTTTTTTTTTGAACTTTCTAATTTTATAGAAGTTTGTTCGACAAACTTGTTTCTTTGGCATTTTACTGTTTTAAGAGTGTAAAAATAGAATATTATGATATAGTGAAACAAAATCAATTAAGTTATAGTTGAACACATTGTCATGTCAATTATGAACAAGTCAAGTATTTTTTATGTGTATTATAAAATCTATATAATAAGATAGCTAGATTTTTGAACTTATGAAGAGTATATTTTCTCCCCAAATTTCACACGCCCATCACATACTTTCTCCCCCAAATTTTACAAACCCAACACAAATACTCCATAACACACAGTTACACACACTCCAACACACATTCATTATATATACACACACACACTCATTATATACATACTCTAATATACGCAGAGTCATAACTTAATATACAGTGACTTCAGTCAAGGGGTATCGCTAGTAGTAAAATATAGTAAGGTTGTTTGTTAACAATACATTCCAATACAACACATTGTCATGTGCACCATTAAACAGTAAAATATTGCATATAATATATTTTATTGTTTTAATGTATTAAACAAAATTTTGAATTTTTGAACTTTTTTTTACTTCAATTTTTGCAACATATGAAAATATTCAAAATATTTAAATTAATAATAAATTGGATTAGAACAAGTAAATCAAAAATAACATCAAAATATGAACATGATCATTTTTTTAAAAGAAAAAATGAAAATTTTTCTTTTTCACTAATATTTATATTCAATAAACCAGATTTTACTTAGCTAAATCGTGAAAAATTATTTCTTGCGTGATGGAAATCCTAATCTCGTGAAAAGCTCTTTTTGGAGTGATGGAAACCCTAATATCTTGATATTTTGTAATGATATGTTGAAGAATAGTTTTTTATGCATATTTTTTTTCGAGAAGACAAATTTCACCTCAAAAGATTCACTGGAACCCTATAATCAATGATCGTCGAAGGTTTTTTCTTTGAAATCGTCGTTTTGAAGTTTGAAGGTTTGTCACTGAGAGTGTGTTGGTTCTTGCGTAGCAATGATGGCAAGTCATTCAGTTTTAAATGAACTAAAAAGGCGCTTGTGCACATTACCTGTCGTTTTTAAGGGTATTTTTGTCCAATATGCTATTTTTGTCCTTTAGACCTTATAAGTTTTTGGGTTGGTTTTAATGACTCAGAAGTGCAGTCCGATAGAGCTGCGGCCCAAAAGTTCATATAATTATCTAATGAACATAAGTAAGGTGTTATCATTTTCAATGATATCAACTCTTGTGCCCACCTTAACACTTCTTCCATCATATTTAGCTTCTGAAGTTAAATGATCATTCTTCCAATAATTATTTCCTTCAAATTTAATTACAATTATTTTCTAACTAGTTCAACCTTTACCAAAATCAAACATCTTCTTCTTTTAACTTATTCATAATTTTTTTTTAATTCTTGTGGTTTAATCTCGGACTTTATCAAATATTTACTATTTTTTTATCGCCTACACTTGGATGTACCCTATTCACTCAGCATATTCACATTTAAAAATATGTAAATCAAATCCACCCCAAAAAGGAAGGAAGTGATCACAGGCGCATCCTTCAAGAATTCCAAGCTAAGAGTCTCAATTGATCCGTATCAGAAATTCTCCCCAAAGGAGTCCGTGTCCGGCTACATCAGAAAAAGACTCAGTCTCCCTACCCTCAAGTCTCAGACATGTCTTCCATTTTAAGTGCTAAACTCAGTTTTCAACTCAATTTTAGAATGAGAATCCTCCATGTCATTCTCTATGGTAAAAGAAAAAAGCACTTTCTATTAATCCTTCTAGCTTACTTGAACTTTCCTGTAATGTATACTTTGTTGCTTGACCTATTTACACAACACTGAAGGACAAGAGTAGGAGTATGTTTCACTTAATAATTTCTTCCACACTTTCCGAACAATACAATGCAGTATGTCACTTTAGCAATTTATGTCCTTGTAATTTACATCCCCCTCAACATGTAAAGATATTCATGTTTTAAGTCCAAAAAATACACATGTTATCTTACATATAACACCTGATCCTCATACAGAGTCGGAAAACACGCATTCATGCATGGCAAGGAGAAGTGCCAGCTCCCCTACTCCAAACACTATTGTTCTCTATACTTGTGGGTAAAAACTGCTCAGAAAGAAGAACAATTGGAAAAAATAAATCCTTTAACTTTCAATAACCATTACTCCATCTATACCTAAACCCTTTTGCAGGATTTATATACAATATTCGAAAATACTGAGCTCCTTGAACTACTTGGCAGTTTAAGGAGCTGATTACCACTAGAGCTGCACATATGAATGGTAAGATGTGATTTTTCATGAGGACAAGCTGTGCGGACCAATCAAGTCATCTTCTTGTTTTGGTGTCTGTTGTTGGTGATGACTGTGAGGCAGCACCACCAAGTGCAGCGGCCGCGGATTCAACATGCGTAAGAAGATACTCGTAAATCTTTTTCCTTATCCTGTCAATTGTCTCGGCAGAGATATGAAGTGTTTCTCCTTCATCCTTGACAGACCCAATCTCATCCAACCAGTCATTTACACTCTTGAGCTGAGTCAACATGCCTGCTATCTGACCGTTGTCTGATAATGCTGTGGTGTCCACTTCAGCATCCAAGAATCTCTCGACAAATCCTAGGAACCAATCCTGGGATTCCATTCGCAACATTTCAGCCAAGTCCACAGCCTCATCAAGATCATCTCCTCTGACCCACTCTGTTGGTGGTGGAGCTCCTGGCTTCTGACTAACAGCTGGTCCATCTGCTAGCCTGCGTGGAGTTCCTGTAGTAACAATCTTAGAGCTGACTGTCTGGCGAGTTTTATCTTGCGCTTTTGTTGACACACTCTTACTAGAGTTCTCAAGTACTAATATAGGTTGATGTCCCGCTATAGTCTTTGTGCTTGGAGCTGGAGTTGAACCTGGAATTGGACTTGAAGTGGCTTGTTTGCTAAATACTGTGAAGGACGATAGATCGGTGGCCAGTGCGACATGGATCCAAGAAGCTGCTTGTTTACGTCTGTCGGATGTGACCTTTATGGCTTCTTCTGATGGCTTTTCATCATGAGCTGGAGATGAACCAGCTATGGTAGTTTTAGATAGGGAATCAGCAACCAGAAGAGCATTCTTCAAGCTTGCTTGCAGCTTCAAGAACTGCTCTACAGCAGGCTGCGGATTATCTTCCTTTGCAGAGGAGCTTAGCTCAGAATACATGCTGCAACATGGAAATGTAGAAATCAGCAAATTTGAGATGCATCTACTGGCCCATCATTTAAACAACGAAAGAAATATGTGTAGACGAACTATGGAGTAATCGCTCTGATATGAAGGAATGCATGTTGATCAGAAATGCTCATCTGTTTCATCCACAAGAAAACAATCCGATATGAAAGAGCTTTAAACTTTCCCGAATTCAAACTTTAGAAACCTGTATACTACAACTGCCATTAAGTTCCAAAAATCTTCACAATTTAACCCAAAACTTGTAGAGACTGAAAATTTCAAACTCTTCAGAGCTGCAAAAACCCAAGAAAATCTTTTCTTGGACCACTTCTGATTCATTTGCTCACAACAGGGCAAAGAAGAAAAGAAGCATTACTGCTCCAAACTCACACTATAGAGGAAAGGAGACAACCCTATACCCTATCCCATGGTTCAATCTTCGGCTAAAGCTTTAAATTGGAAAGTGTGGCCAATCAAACTCTGCCAGATTAATCTTTCATCATTGAAGTATTAAAAAAAAAGAAAAACCATCGTTCATATCCTCCTCACTCTGCTCAGAATCTCTAATAGAAAGCTTACTTCCAGTCATCATCCTGAAACGGGAACATACTTCGCCAAATATGTGATCAATAAATAACTTTATTATATATTCACTTGAGTTCTTCAAGAGCAACATCAAATCAGGCCAGAATATTCTGTGGTCCATTTCAATCAAGAAATCCTAGCAACAAAACCAAAAACCCATCCTTTTGACCTTGATATCTTAATCCATGCCAGAAAATTTTGTGGTCAAAGAAATTGTAGCCACCCAAAAAAAAACCCTATTACAGTTTATTCAAGCCCTCCCTTATGTCTAACCTTCAGATACAACATGGCATGCATCTATCTTGCTTTATGCACGATTCCCATATTCATGTGAAAAATCTTCTGAAGAAATTAGTATATTGCTGCAATGACATTGTCGCAATTGCTGCCAACCTCCTCATGGGTGTTTACAACAAAGAACCAAGAGATAGGGAGCTGAGTCAGGAGGCACAAAAATCCCAACTTGAAAAGATTCCAAGCCTGGGCTGTAATGTCATGACTTCCAACAGAAGAATAATCTTAAACTACCATATCAATAGATGACTGCTATTCAATGTTCAAGGCCATTATGCAACAGGAGCCTAAGAAATAAAGGAGAAGACTATGAGGTCATGCACATAAAGTCTTTGCATCCATTTTCATAGCATGAGGACAGCTCCCAACTCACGTGAAAAATTGAAGAATATACTTCGACCTAGTGCAGATTCTTTACATTAGAAAAGTGAAAAATGACAAATATTGTTATCCATAGTAACACACTCGGTCAATATGGAGGATTTATCTGAGAATATCGTAAAAGGGCTACTATTTTGAGGAGTGTTATAATGGCCATAATTTGGGTGTTGTATATGGAGAGAATAACAGAATTTTTGAAGGAAAATAACAGAACATGGAGTTATTATGGGATATAATTAGTTCATTGGCATCTTTATGGACAGCATCATCTAATGAGATTCATGATATTTCTTTTGTGTTGCTATGAAACAATTAGAAGGCTGTTTCTAGTTGATAAATTTTGTATGGTAACCTTCTATTCTTTTGTCCTTAGGTTGGACATCATATCCACCATTTTGTACATATTCAACTTTCTATGAAATGACAGTTTTTGTTTCTTATCTAAAATAACTGAGAATGTCGTCACCTAATGTTCTGTTCTAGCAAACTCATAAGTTTATAAACCTAAAAAAGTAACTGTATTTTGTAGACCGGTATTTATAAGGGCAAAGTCAAAATATCACTATAAGTCTATAACCATCAATCACAAAGATGCTTTGTCCAAGAGTTTCAGTCTTTCACATCACCTCCTATAACAGTTGTCTTCAAGCTTTTATTGTATTGTTAGTCATCTCATTTGATGAATCTTAAGCAATTACCACCAAAATTGAAGAGGTTTAGTAATAAGATATCATAGCCATTAAATTTGAAAGCTTTCACATCCTCAATTTGTGCTAGGAAAAACTTGAACCAGATAACACTTATTATATAAGTAATAAAAAAACATTTGTTCATAAACTATAATTCTTTGGCCAATTTAGTCCCTTATGNTAAGACTACGTGGATCAATTGTCAATGTAAACTCAAATAGACCTAGAGGGGAGTGAATAGGTCTAATGCGACAACAATTATAAATTCAATTTACTTTGACCTAAATCAACAATTCAATCACTTGTCATAATTAGATCAACAATTAAACACCATGAATCAAGGAAAACAAATCACAAACCAGTAAAGTAAATCAACCACACATGAACACAATGAATTTTAACGTGGAAAACCCCACCTAGGGTGAAAAATCAAGTGACCAAATCCAGCTCAAACCAATCCATTACTAAAATCAACAGTACAAACTCAATGCTCAATTCATAGTAGACGCATTAGCTGCAAGCTATCCACCTGTCTTGTACTCTTCCCGACAAACTCTCACGTTCAACTTGTGTCCAGCCCCGGCTTTTTTGACCCTCCTAAAACGCTTGTTGACTTGTCCAACCACAAACCCTCGATCATCATCGGAAATCAAGGTGAACTCAAATGATTTTGCTTTAGATAAATGAACAACTCTTAAGGTTTTGGGTCAACCCTAGAAAAGAAATTCTCATGAATACTCTCAAATTTAGGTCTTGTGATTCTCAAAGAAGGACAACCTACATATGTTCTTGGAACACAACTCACAATCAAGAAAAACACTAGATCTATCAAGCTCTTAACAAGATGTGTTATCAGACTCAATGAATATCAAAGACACTCANAACACAACTCACAATCAAGAAAAACACTAGATCTATCAAGCTCTTAACAAGATGTGTTATCAGACTCGATGAATATCAAAGACACTCATTTTCCTCTGTTTTTCCACACACAAACATCCAAGTCATGTTTTTAAGTAGGCCAAATACTCTAGACTCGAGTTTGTTAGGAATACTAAAGAAATTAGGAAATTTCGAAAGTCTGATGTGCCGTAGCCGTTCTAGCATGCTTGACCTCGCTCGAGCCAAGCCAGTGCAAAGCCAGTGTGAACAACATCAGTTCTAGGTCCGAGCTTTTGCAGTGTCCCTCAAGCACCATCAGCCTTGCTTGAGTTCCAATTGTAATCAACACCTAATTTTGTTTTTTTCAAAATATATTTTTCAAAAACATATCTATCAAAACAAATGATCAAAATTCATTTCGGTACATTCTTTTTGTTACTTAGAAAACAGAAATGTTTTGAAAATAGAATGAAAACGAATAAGCATTTAAGAATTTATTTTTGAACCATTTTTAAAATATTGGTCAAAATATACCATAAATCTTGAAAAACCTCAAAATATTGGAGGAAACATTTAGAAACATTCCAAAACATATTGATATATTGATCCATTCAATCACTAATATGTTTCAACATCCTTAGAAACAAGAACGTCTTGCCATTTTGAAACACAATTTTAATCCCTGCTCAAAAAAAATTGTGATTAATAAAATCTCTGGGTCAACTACAATTACATTGTAATTTAAGATCAGATCCATTTTAAAAAACAAATCAAACAATCCAGCCACGGTTCACTAGGTCTCTAAGTCAACTTACCAACTTAATCCGGTGAAGAAATCCGATGAAGTCTTCAACAAGCTTCTTTCATAACCGAGTTTCTGTGGGCTTTAAGTCTTCGACTCATAATCTCAACCTAGACTTACACGTTCTTTACTTTTATATGACACAGAATTATGCCAATACTAAAATCCATGAGACTAAGTTTTTTCCTCCAAGTCCATCTTATGTAAACACAACCAAAGATATGGAATGCAAGCTTTGTGAGACATTCCCCTCCTTGGAAGCTAAACTAACCTAATGTACTCTTGAATGATAACTACCTCAATTTACTTATAAGAAGTAATATCCATGAGACTAAGTTTTTTCCTCCAAGTCCAACTTATGTAAACACAACCAATGATATGGAATGCAAGCTTTGTGAGACATTCCCCTCCTTGGAAGCTAAACTAACCTAATGTACTCTTGAATGATAACTACCTCACTTTACTTATAAGAAGTAATAAAATGCTTCACTTCAATAATCCTCAAGTAGAAATTAATAATGAGTTTATGAAAATAGTGCCAAATTTTTCATGCTGCATGACAAACACATCACTATAGGCCAAGAAACCATTTTCAGAGTCTCATCTCCTCAATGATCTTCCACTTAAGCAAGGCAAACATCATGAAACAGAGAATGAATCTCGCATGCATCATGTTTAGGTTAGGAATGCCACAAACAAAGTGCTTGGCGTAAAGAACGATAATTCACAATGGAAAACACAATCAAATCAGCTTAACAAAAATCTTGCACCCCCATTCTATTTTACTAAGGTCCCTCCTCTGGTAGCATATCAACTGGGGGAAATAGCATATCAAATGGATTGGAGGTATGAGGAAAATGACGTCAAAATGAATCCTAAACATTTTCTATAATATTAGGCCAGAAAATATTCACATATTGCACATAAATTTGTCTGAAAGAACATGTTGAGATTTCCTTTTCACTTCAAACATTCATGTAATCATAGGCTAGAATAATATAGGAAAAACTCCACTAATATAACAGCAAGCTAGAAAATTCATATTCTGCAAAAGGGGAGGATGACACAGTAAGCTTGCCACTAAGTTGTTCCAATTACAAGTGATTCCAGACCTAATAATGGATCCTATATATTGAACCATTCAAACAAGTTGGAAGGCATTGAAACAAGATAAATATACCAAGGAAGAACCTATTCTGGATATGGGATATGGGATATGGGATATGGGACATGGCATGGGTACAGCACAATAGAAATATCACAAAATCCCAACAAATAAGGCAGGTACACAGATAGGACTCATCTATAACAAGATGTATTTTTATGTTTCTGTGATTAAGTGATATGCAATAAAAATTATTTTAAAGTAATGTTCTCAAATAACAGGCGAAAACATGGGTCTTCATGGCTTAACACCCCCTCCCTCCCAAAACAGGAAAGAGTTAAAGACTAGTACATCACCAACTGCTTGTCCCCAAAAAGCAATTGCTCATTGACTGTTGATGGACATTGAAAAATTTCATGTTGCCTCTTCAGCGCATGGCCGCATAAAAAGGCAAGTGAGAGAGCCCTACACACATAAGACATTAAGGGGGCCTAGTACTTCATCATGTGGGCTCTGTTTCCCATATTTCTCTCTACCACCATCATTTAGGGGTCAAAAACAGATCTCTCTCTCTCTCTCTCTCTCTCTCTCTCTCTCTTTTCTACTTAAAATAGTTATCATAAGAAGAGCAGATCCCAACTTCCAGCTTGAAGACTTCAAGGATGACAAGATTATCAACAATTAGAGGCCTTCAAGTTTCAAGGGACAAGCCTAAAGCCATAGGAAATCTAAATCAGAATAACTCATAGTCCCATATATATGGCTAACATGTTCCCCTATAGCTTGCAACTACGTAGGGAAGAGAGCCTAATCAACGAGGTATTGGACCTAGTTGACTAGGGGCTGGTCAACTAGGGCTGATAGGTTTTGACAAAGCTAGCCGTTGCACCTGATGCCAATACATAGTTTTCATCCATTTGAAATGAAAATTTGATGGACTAAATCATACATATGCTTTGGTGAACAATTTAAATGGATTTCAGAAGCCTTCTAGTGTTCATTTGACCTTTACCTCATCATCTACAGACCTTACTAGCTCTGTAGCTCAAGAATCTTGAAGATCTCATTAGTGCAGTAGTGGACATTTTTCTGGGAGATAATATAGTATTCATCTGTATGTTGCTAGACACATCTCACACCGCACTACTTGTCTCCGTACTTTAGAACAGCTTGGCTCAAGGTGAGCCTCTAAGTTAGCTGACAATTAATTGTGGAAGTGTAGAGTGTTTTTGGTTGTAGGTTGCAGGTGGGCCAAGGTAAAAAATCTACAAGAAATCTTGAAGGGGTGCATTCAAGTTGGTTCTATGTGAACCAAAGCACAAAACATAGTACACATCCGAGTTGGGTGCCATGTGAGGGCTCTCTAGGATGTTGCCAAGCTAGCCTAGGAAAAACTTCCAAAAAATCGTAGGTGATATGTAGGCTGCATTCGTTAGGTTGTTAGTGAATCTTGTAAAACTGTCATTGTAAAGGTTCTAGGTGGACCATTTGGATAGTGGATTAAGGACCAACCAAGGAAGTTAAGAAAAACAGATAAAGGTTAGAGGATTAGCCAAAACACAATATACTGTTAAGTTCATTACCGATTAATGTAAACTTAAAACAGGGATGTGGGGAAATCCCAAGTATGATAATCACCTTGATGACGTGCATAACTTGGTTATTGAAGGAATGCAAGTTGATGGAGCACTTTGTATATAGTGCAAATTATATCACAGGCACAGCACACATTAGGAAACAGTTTTTGAACTACAAATTGAATACCAAAAGCAAAAGATATCAAAAACAGAACAGGGTCATTCCTATAACTAGAGGTGCAACTCCTTTTTTTTTTTTCGGTAAGTAACTAGAGGTGCAACTCCAGCAGGTTGTAAGGTGTCCAATATGGGCTCAAGTGCTCAACCTCAACTATGAAACCCTTAACCTGAGCTCAACCAAAACCCAAGCTCCAATCTAACCCTTCAACCCGAGTATTGCCCGTGCTTAACTTTTTAAACTCTAACTGAGATCGGATTCTATTACGACCACTACCAGATGTCAGAATTTGGTATGCAACCCCACACACTTGATACCACAACCAACTACTTGGTGGTGAAATTAAGCAAAGAGTATTTAATATTATCAATCAGATAGAAGAACCTCCACATTACATGCTATCATGACAATATATTTTCACTTTTTCCACCTAATACTCTCTTCAATTCCTCTAGTGCCTACTTCCATATATGCCAACTTAGTAATGTTAATTTTCATGTGCATAATTTGAGCAATGCCGAAAAAACAACAGATGAGCAGAAGTTTTCCACAACTGTTCAAATGCACATGACACACTAGATCTGTGTTTTTAGTTAGAACTACCATGGTATATCCAACCATGCTGTCAGGAGATACCATGAGATTGTTTAACTCAATTCAATTCAACAAAGTCTTTAACTCTTTATCCTAACTAGGAGTCGGCTACATGAATCATGTTTCTCCATTCTGCTCTATGAAACGCCATATTTTCTGCTAAACAGTGAATACCCATTTCACAGTACTCTTAGATTATTTTAAAATTAAAAAAATGTTACACCATTGAAAATTTCAACATGAAAGAATTTGTGTACTTTTCAAAAATTAATTTTCTTAGGAAAGAAATACCTTAAACATCTAAGTAAGCTTTCTGTGGCTGAAGCCTCTTGCATTGCCTCTATGGCAGCTGTTTGCGCAGCATCTCTATGCTTTAAAACTTCCTGTAATAGTGAGATATGAGAAAATTCAAAGAAATGAGTATTTCAGTACTTATTATATGTTCCGAAGTTGATGAAAATTTTGGTGAGACTTGGCATGCAAAATGTACAGTAGATGAGAAGGTCTACCCTTATGCAGTAAAAAAATTTCATAATCCATTAAAAAAAAAAAATCTAGGTGACAGAGAATAGCTACTCATCACCTATAACCAAGCTACTACTGCAAGGGAACCAAAAATCTATAAGAACCCACTATTCTGAATAAATGAGGTGTCCCATTTCCAAAAATGATGGAATAATTATCAACACTGATCTATCAAATTTACAGCACTTTTGATCCTACATATCTGAGTAGAAATTTCTTAAACTGTGTATGTAAATCTCTAGGCTATTCCCACAAAATATAAGCCAAGAAAAACAGCCTAAAGGCTGAGACGNGGAATAATTATCAACACTGATCTATCAAATTTACAGCACTTTTGATCCTACATATCTCAGTAGAAATTTCTTAAACTGTGTATGTAAATCTCTAGTAAAGGCTGAGACAACAATATGTGAACAACCCCCCAAAATCTGTTAAGAGCCAATCAGAAGTGTCAGTTTCCAAGACAATATACAGTCTCACCTTTCCCAGCTTTGCAAGAGAAGATGGGAGTGAAGCCCACAAGACACTTCCATCTGTTAATTTCCTATTGCTGAAAGAAACCTTGACCATGTTTCCTGCAAATCCATGATTAGCAACTTCCCCAGATAATTTCTTTCCGACAGTAGTTATTTGCTTAGTAGACTTCTCAGTATCAGCTGATGATCCATTAGCACTAACTTTCTTGTTAGATATCTGAACCTTGTTTTCCTCTTTAGAAGACTTGGCAGATATATTAACCTTATTCTCCTCTTTAGATGGCAACCTGTCACTTGTTGATTTTCTTGGAACCTGACAAATACAAATTAATTAGAAGGGAAAAACCAGACTATTGGTCAAAAGAGAAAACAACAGTCTCACTGATTTACGGACACAATCCTTTGGCCTTCATAGAGTAAGAGTAAAATAAGCAATTGCAATAATAAGGAAATACAGCTAAAGGATTTAACTATCAACGCCATTCATGCTTTCATACTAAATGAAGAGACTGCAATAGTTCAGTTATTAGATCCCACAAACCTCCACTTCAGCCCGCAATGAGTGCTAATCGAGTTGTTCATCTCAATATCAAAAACATGTTGCCTAAAATATTGTGACCATCCACTAAGCAAGTAGAAATGACAAGACAACAAAAAAACATGGAATCAACTGAATTCCAATCCGACAACACTCCAAGATCACAATATTACCCATGCAACAAGCAGATAATCTCCAATACTATCGAATAGAACTTATTCTCACTAAATTTAAAGATTCAACAATGATAATTAGGACTACAAACAAAAACTTACAGAAGTACTCCGAGCTTCATGCTTCAAATCATGCTTGGGTATCCTCAGCTTTGGACTATCTCTACTCTTCACATCCATATTCCCTTCCCAGCTTTTTCTCAGAGCCTTAGGTCCCAGCTCAATCTCACGAACCAAATTCCTCATTGAGCTTCCCACCGGTGACCGCTTTGTAGTTGGACTTGTCCCACGAACAGAACTGGCCTTTTCCCCCAACCCCACTTTGGATGTTGCCTTTTCCAACCTATCCAACCCCTTAATCTTTGCCTGCTGCTTAATCCCATTAGCAAATTTCTCAAAAGAAGTTGGCAATGAATAACAACTTGTTGGGGATGAAGGGATCGACCTTGAACTCGAAGACTTTGATTTCACCAAAGATTCCTTTCTCTCTACTGAATTCAGAGCCAGTTTTGATAATTGAGATTTGGATCTAGTCAATACTGGTGTTTTCTTGTCCATTTGACCATCTTTACCACCACCATTTGATCTCACAGGTGTGAATTTATTATCCTTTGCCCCACTATGACTATCGTTCGGTGCTTTTGAAGGCAATTTGGTTTTGTCCAAGGATTTTGAGCCAATGGATGAATCAGCATTGGTATTGAGGAATCCTAGAGAGTGAGTTGCAACTATGTCTTCAGGGCTACCCACACAAGGGTGTCGCCCCGGGACCGGCCTAACCCCCCGAAGAATGGGGACAGGTGATGCTGATTCAAGCCTTTCAACATGAATGAACTGGCCTAACTGAATTTTATCACTAAGAATGAGATCATCATGTTCATCAGGGAGAGAGACATATGTGGCATGAGAAGAATCTGATACCTTGAGGTAAAAACCTTGGTTGGGAAAGAGTTCACCGCCTGCTAGTGCAGGGACAATGCTGACTACTTGCAACAAAGACGACCTGTGCTCTCCAGCAATCTTCACATCTGTATTCATGTGNCTACTTGCAACAAAGACGACCTGTGCTCTCCAGCAATCTTCACATCTGTATTCATGTGCTGTAGAAGCTTCAATAGAACACCAGGGACCAATGTAGCCATTCTTGAGACCTTCAATTTGCATCACTCTGAGGAAACCCAGATGGAAAAATCCAACATTTCCTGTGTGAAAATAAGAAATCTGGCAAAGGATTGGAGAATTAGGGCTTTTTCTTAACTAATTACCAGGTTGAGAAGAACAGAATTAGGATTCTCAATGTATTTTTACTAACAACCAGACTCGGAACAGTGATCACAGATATGGATTCTTGTACGGAAAGGAAATTCAAAAAGGCTTCAATCATACAAGAGCAAACAAAAAGGAAATTCACATTGGCAGTACAACCCAGACAGATCACAAGGTCAGAACTTCGTGTAGCGCACACTGAGCCTTTTAAGATTTCGTACCAAAGAAGAATTTTTAGTAAATCCCCATAGCAGGATAAGAAGAAAACTTCAACAACTCAGACTGAAATATTCAAGCTTTCGGTTGGAGAAGTAATGAAGAAATGGGGATGGGACAGGGGTGGAGAGAGAGAGAGGGAAATGCCCCCAAAATAAAGAGGACTAACAACTGAAAGAGGGTTTGTCATTGCTGTATTTGTTACATACACATTACAGATAGGAAAATAATATTTGTCTGCAAGACCCAAATGTAGTAAGTGTATAAATTATGGATAAATTTTTGGAACTNTTTGTCATTGCTGTATTCGTTACATACACATTACATATAGGAAAATAATATTTGTCTGCAAGACCCAAATGTAGTAAGTGTATAAATTATGGATAAATTTTTGGAACTCATGGTCGGCAACAGCTATGAAAGAGGAGAAAACAATGGCATTGATTACTCAGCAAAATCCAGATGGGTAAAAAGCAACTTTTTAAGGGGAATTATTAGATGATACGAAGAGAAACCTTAACAAGTGTCTAAAGTCTGAACTAGAACAAGGGAGGTCCTGAATTTTGCAGAAGATTAATTAAAAAGGCATCAGATAATAGTTGATGCCAGTGAGCAAGAGAGAAGCTGACCCACTCCAAGATCATTCTATATCAAAAGAGAACCCCTTCGATGAACCTTAGTTTGTTTCAGGAAATGTGAGAGGGAGAGAGAGAGAGTGGGGGGGAGTTGGGGAGCCACCGGAACATTATGGTGGAAGAGAACAATGTACTTTTGGGTAAACATCACACGCAAAACACGACACACAAAACCAAACCAAACCATTCCACCCCCCAATTTTTCCAATTTTACACATACACCCCTTTAAATGACACTAAGACCCTAATTGTCAAACTTGGTTCACAAAAAGTAATGTTATTTGGACCAAAAAAATTGACTTTATTTATTTACTTGATGATATAATTTTATTAAAATTATTGAATGAAAAGCAAATTCCAACGTCAGGAATATCAAAACAAAATAACAAAGAGACGTTAAAATCCTTTGAAAAATTTGTGGATAACAAAACTCTGTCATTTACACCACTTCTTCACATCCCTCATTCATTTTGTGTGTGTGTTTGTGTGTCGAAGAGAGAGAGAGAGAGGGGAGGGAAAGGGATCTTGGTGAAATTTGAAAAAGGTTCATAGTTAGTCATTCATTTGATTCTTAATGAAATGTGAAAGATCTCACTTTGAAATTGGATATTCGTAGAAATCAGACCCTAATCACTCTTAGAGTTGTAGAACCCTAGGTTTCATAATCCATAAATCTCAACTTTAAATGGTCTCACAGTATAAACCATATATTGACGTCAACCGCTGATATATTTATCACATGCAATGCTGATATTATGTCAGCATTATCACATGGTATCACTATTCAATAATAAAATATCAAATAAGCAAAGTGTCTTACATAAAAGAAGAGTTCAATAGTTATTGTAATACATGAAAAGATAATAATTGATTGTGTGGAGTCTATTTACTTATTTGATAAAATATTATTGGATATTAATGCCACCTAACAAAGCTGACATGATATTACTATTGCATTGAATATTTTCTCGATATATAGTCCCTACAGTCACAAATCATATACTTATGAATCCTGTTTTGGAAACCTCTAACTAAAATCTAAGAGATCTCACATTGTAAACCATATATTGACACCAACCCCTAAAATACAAACCCTTTAGCCACAAAATATAAACCCTGGAGCATTTTAAAAACCCCTAAATCTTCGATTGCTATCATCTAGAATAAGACCCAAGTTACATTTAGTGTGCATTCGAGGTTTAAAAGGTTTGTGACTGCCCAAATACACTAATTGGTTGCTTTATCAATAGAAGATTGTTCAAAAATTGTTCATGTTTTAGACTTTGGTTAGTAGTATGCACGTTATGTGTACTTTCCTGAATGTTAAGACACTTTTTTTTTTTACAATTTTAAGGCAAAATAGGTGAATATGAAGTGTGGAATTTCATGCTCATTCAAAATTAGTAAATTCACCATTCTGGTTTTTTAAACACACATGAGACCCAATTTGGTTGCAAACTAGATGAACACCAAACCCTAACACTCTGTGCGTGTAAGGAGAGAGAGTATGTATTTCTAATCAAACAAGATAGGAAGAATAAAAAAATTGTGCGATGACTTATGTTTGACTAGATTGGGGAAGGGATTAATCGAGGTGCGCGTAAGTTGGTCTAGACATCCCTAACTGTTAAACCAAAAAAAGAATATTTAGGATGCTACTAAGGGAGAGAGAGAGAGATAAAAGGGGAAGATATGGTGTAGTACCCCATAAATTTAGCATACATGTCCAAGTCATGAAGGGACAACTAGCAAGAGTTGATACCTTATATGGCAGTGGTGACCAATAAGATCCAGCAGGAGTGGGTACGAACAATAGTGCTAGCACCCAGGTGCAAAGCCCCCAAGAATGGTAACCAAGATGCGACGCTCCTAGACATGGCAACCAAGGTGCAACGCCCCATTATGTGACACCTCCCCATGTGCGATGCCCCCTTGGCGCAACATCAAGATAGAGCAAAACACATCCCCATTGTATTGAAAGTGGCAAAATGGACCATTTATTAAGGGTGGACAAAAGTGGAGCCGCAGAAGTCTAAGAAAATCTCGACAAGACTCACCTCCCCTAGTGCAGGAGTGGTAACATCAATCTACTAGACACCATTGTTCAACTGACCCATTGGACTAAGAGGAGGAGTCCCTAACTAGAGATAGGGCAGTATGACCCTCATCAATGGAGAACTGAGCAACGGGGGTGGATGAAGCATGATTATCAACTTCGGCCTAGTGCAAGGTCTCAAAGATTTAGTCTCTTCAAGCAGGCCTACTAGTGTATGACTCAGTGTCCACTAGGATGCGCTTGATTGGGATCCAAAGAAACTCATAAGGTAAACTGGAGTTATTGGTCTGAATTAACAAATGAGATAATAAGACATGTAGATTAATGGTTGAAGAACCTTAAACTATATGAGTTTCCTTTTTCGGGCACCTCGACAAGGGTCTCGAAAAAAGGTCCAGAAAGGGAAACAAAAGACCCCACGTAGGAGCGTGCTGGGGGTATCGCAGACATGGTCCCGCAATAACCAGTCGTAGTCATGGATCTTGGGAGCCCGCTTGCACCTCCGTTGTCGCACCCTCCGCAAAGCCATGTCTAGACTGCATTTGGGGGAAAACATCACATCTGCCTAGTTAATGTAAAGACATGTGGCTCTTGGTGAGTGGCCACTGGTATCTCCGTGATCGAGGCAATTGTGGGTTCGCTCGAATGGTGAGGGTCACGGCAGGCAGCCCGACTTACCCTAGCATTGTGCTATCAAAACCCACAATGCTTGCCCACTAGAGAGGATAAGAATTCTACTTGGCTAGTGAAAGCATTTTCACTCAACCTACCTTCCGCCCAATTAATTAGTCCCCTCATTAACAGGTTGCTCGAGTTCTTTCTATTTTGTTCGTTTATCTTACTCATTCTCTTTGATTATCTTTGACATAAACACGTAAACAACTTCTTTTAATTTTCCACTACACATAGTACCCCACAAAACGTGAGACTAAACTTGTAGAGAGAGAAATGCCACAAAATATAAAATATGGGGCAAAAACTTCACAAAAAGAAGAAAGTGTTTATATAGTGGTGCAGGGATATAAATATGTGTTTAAAATCATTTGAGTGACATTCTTGTCCCCCGAAGCTTATTTTGACTACTTAAAGGTAATCTTGGAAATCAGTAAAAATAATCGGTTGATGTTATGTTTCCGTTAGTTTGTTTAACGACCGTCACTAAAAATAATTTGTTAACTTTATATTTCCGTTAGCTTTTTTAACGATCTTTAAGCATAGATTATCCACTAGACGGATTTATGTTTTTCAGGGATTTCAATAGTATTTTTAAAATCCAATGGTATGCCCGCATAATACTAACAAACCTCAAGGGTCCCCATGATATTTAGCCTATTTTTTAATCCGAATAATCTTATCTACGTTTGTTTCGTCGTGTTTATGCAAATGGGTGCATGTGCAAGCTAACGTGGTTGTCGGTTTACGTAGGAATATAGGGATGTGTAGGATACTACAGTTTTTGAATAAAACAAATCCTTCGTTGGGTTTCTGAAGCGGACCCGCTGACTCTCTCTCTCTCTCTCTCTCTGATAATGTAATGATATTTTATTGCGATATGGGTTTCAATTAAAAGAAGTTTCTTTCATGTGTATGAAATTCTACATATTTACGGCGCTTTTGAAATATATTTTGAAATAAAATTTTCTTAACTTGATATTCTATATTTTGAAGAATTACAATTTATTCATTAAATAACAAAGAAAAACAAAGTGCATTATTTTGATGTGCCAAAATAATAAATTCCATAATGATCTTATCAAACACATATGGTGGTATGCTGCATGCAAAGAAACAAGGAAAATAATATTGTGTTAGAATATTTTAAACAAAAGAGTGTTTTTTATGTGAAAACTCAATCTCATATTGACTAAATTTTTAAAAGTACTGTATGCTAGTGCTATTTAACTTTTTAGTTAAAGTGAGACATTGAGACTCTTACGTGCACAAGAGTGAGACAAGCGAAGGAATAATTATTTTTCGTTATAACTCCGATA